TTTAAACTTGCCATTATTTGCCTTGGGATGGATGTGCTTGTGTCTCTTAAGCTGTGAGGCAAGTTGAAGCCCACTACATCCATCCTCCGTGTATGACTGGCTTTCATAAATGTGGTTTTCTTACCATTATGATTTTGGGATTGGAGAATAAGCATGGGAATGGGGTCAGCTGCCTCAGCATCTAAAATTCCTTGACTAGTTATGAGATAGTCAGGTCCCTTCTAGAAGGGAGTGGAATAAGATGGTGTTTCATCACATCCTAGGGCAGCTGTTGAGGATGGATGTGGTCCAGAGGGTGCTCAGGCATTAGAAAAGGCTGCCCAGGGCAGGGATGCAGTCACTATCCCTGCCAGTCTTCACACACTGTGTAGATGTGGCCCTCAGTGCCATGGGTTAGTGGTGGCCTTGGCAGTGCTGAGAATGGTTGGACTTGATGAGCTTAAAGGTCTTTTACAACCTGGTTGGTTCTAAGAGTCTAAAATGAGCCCAGTTCATGCATCCTGATCCCATCCTCTGATGGGGATGGAAACACACTGAGGGGAGGATGCTCTGTGTGTGTGCGTGTCTTCAAACTTGAAATCTTGAAACTGCGCTCTTTTTCTGAACAAATACTAGAGATACAGGAACACACCTTCACCGAGCACAGATGGAGACACAAAACTGATTTAATGACTCAACTTTTATTTATAGAATCATAGAACCATGGAATAGTTAGGGTTGGAAAGCACCTTAAGATCATCCAGTTCCAATCCCCCTGCCATGGGCAGGGACACCTCACACTAAACCATATCACCCAACACCTCATCCACCCTGGCCTTGAACACCACCAGGGATGAAGCATTCGCAACCTCCCTGGGCAACCCATTCCAGTGCCTCACCCCCCTCACAGGAAGGAATTTCTTACTTATATCCAATCTAAGCTTCCCCTGTTTCAGTTTTAACCCATTACCCCTTGTCCTATCACTCCAGTCCCTAATGAAGAGTCCATCCCCAGCATCCCTATAGGCCCCCTTCAGATACTGGAAGGCTGCTCTGAGGTCTCCACGCAGCTTCTCTTCTCCAAGCTGAAAATCCCCAACTTTCTCAGCCTATCTCCATACAGGAGTTGCTCCAGCCCCTGAGTATCCTCGTGGCCTCCTCTGGACTTGTTCCAACAGATCCCTGGTCTGGGATTCTATGAAACAAACTCATACAGGGACATCTGCAGCTCCATAAACTAAAATCTCTTGAAGTAAGTAGACAGGGAAGTGTTTCCTGAATCCACACACCAAGAGCACAGTATGGTGGGTAATACGTGCCACAACACTTGGACCTAGTAGACAGATATCAGTGAAAAGAATTTTGTTTAGGTACTACAGCAGTTCTGGTGTTGATTTGAGTTCAGGTGGTTGCTGTTTTCTTGCTCTTCCCATCACTGCTCATAGCAAAATGAAAGAAGAACACCAAGAAGATGATAAAAACTTGGTGTGGGGACAATTACTGTCTTAGTGAAGTCAGCAAAGGCAAAATCAACATTTGGAATGGGTTATACACGAAGATGTTAACAAAGGGTAACTCTGAGTGTAGAAGTGGTTTCAGGAACTCTCTTTGCAATGCTGAAATCCTGTTAAGTAGCATTAGGAAAGCAACTTGAGAAAGTTATGAGAATAATCAGGGATGAATCATGTGGACATTCACTTGTCACCAACTCCCTCCGCTCAACGAGGGAGAAGGGGGAAGGCATCTCCTTAAATCCACATTTTTACAGCAAATTGTTCCTGGGCTTTATCAGTGCACCTGGAGATGAAGAGATTGATGCTCTGGATGGATTTTGCTTGTTGTCAAGCAAAGGGTGTGAAATCACTTCTGAAAGGCATTGTGGTGCTTGGGCATCTGAGAGACGTGGTGTGGATGAGCCATCCCTGATCACAGCTACTCAGCAGCAGTGATGAGCTGCTCCTAGGATGCTTCTGACATACTTGTGGGCTATACAAAGAATTTAGTCTGACCTTGGAAACAGAATGAGAATGGGTTTTAGAGACATTTCAGATCTTGCAAAGGCTGCTCAAATGGGACACGAAGCACAAGTGATTCCATCTCTGGATTTGCTGCTGTCCCACTGTGCACACTTGGGAGCCCAGTTTTCCATCCCCAGTGGGGTTATACACATGCAGTGCCTGGATGTCCAACAGCTGAGCTGGTGCCTCTGGGCTTCCACTGTATTCAAGGTCGAGAAATGGGCATTTCCAGGCTATGATGAGTTGTGCCAGGGTGAACTAATAGCCTTTATCCCCCTGAGCAGCTGGGCTCCATCCCCATCCCCTGCCCAATTGCCCCCCATCTCTATTTAAGCTCACTCCGGGGAGGTTGAGTTTTATTAGAGGCACTGTGGTTTCCTGTTTAGCAGGAGTTGTTCACACCTACGAAATCCTTTGATGGTGACCTAGGCTTGCTAATGGATTTCCCTAGGCATTGCTGAACCTGATCCTGACCAGGAGGTTTATTTCATCTGGATTGACATGTTTTGGCCTTGGACCTGCCTCATCATCACCTGGTTTCCTGATGCTCTGGAGTCTTGGCTGAACTTGGCCCAGGTCTCTGTTCCTGCCATATTTCTGTAGTTCGGGTATCGTGGGGTCGTCCCTGCACACCCTGATGTCCCCTTTGACTTTGTTTAGAGATGAGATACAAACCCCTGTGGCAGTCCCCAGGCTCCTGCAGAGTAGAACCCATCATCCTTTGCCCTCAACAGTACTCACTGCTCTGACTGTGCCTCTCTATTTGGAACATGTCCCTGCATGGGCAAAATAGGAGATAGTGTTCGCAGTGAGTGAAATAGAGTAATGAATTTAACGTTATATACAAGTGTCATTCTCTGGTCCATAGTGCCTTCTCCTTTACCAAGTATAATACTAGACTTTGATTGAGAGGAAATCTGGTATGTATTCTGTGTGGGCATTTTGTGTCTACAGCCGGGAGTTTCTGCATTATGTAGACCCTTTCCTCTGCAAAGATTGAAGCAGAATCATGCAATGATGCTCTCAGTACAAAACCTCAAGCCTGTTTTTTATATTGCTGGAATTGACAGTTGTACCCCCCTGCACATTTGACTGAGGTTCCTCTTGGACAATCACAAAGTTGAGTCCACTACATACAGGACTATGGCAATCAAGGCCTCTTTTGGGAACATAGCACCAAGTCTGGATAAATGTTTGAGCATTTCAGTTTCTCTGCTTTGAGAACCTTATTAAAGCCAAAAGGAAATAAAGACACCAGAGTGGGGTAATGAACCCTACAGATGACACTTCTCTTCTAGGCTCCCTTTCCCACAAAAGCTTGGGCTGGATAATTTCTGAGTCCCAACTTGGGCTTTTTGTAGCTCTAAGATTTTGTATGTATAGTCTAAGCGGCAATATCGATCAAAATAGAGGAAGAAAACAAGGTGTGGTGAAGTTTTTATAGGAAGTACTCTGATATGACCTTATAGCAGCCTTTCAGTATCTGAAGGAAGGTATAAGGATTCTGGGGATGGACTCTTCATTAGGGACTGTAGTGATACAACAACGGGTAACGGGTACAAACTTAAACAGGGGAAGTTTAGATTGGATCTAAGGAGGAAGTTCTTTCCTGTGAGGGTGCTGAGGCACTGGAATGGGTTGCCCAGGGAAGTTGTGAATGCTCCATCCCTGGCAGTGTTCAAGGCCAGGTTGGACAGAGCCTTGGGTGCCATGGTTTAGTGTGAGGTGTCCCTGCCCATGGCAGGGGGTTGGAACTGGATGATCTTAAGGTCCTTTCCAACCCTACCTATTCTATGATTTTATGATTCTATGATATCAAAGTTCTCTGTCCTGCCAAGCTCTTTAGCATCTGATTATATCAGTTCTGCCTCCTTCACTGAGCAGAGGTTGAAGCCACTTTCCCACAGACAAAAGACAACATCTCATCTCTTGCTGCTGATTGCCAGAGCACACAGAAGAGATTGTTCGCCATCCATATTCTGTTCAAAACATCAGTTAATTCCCACTCAGAGCAGGTAAAGGAAAGATATTTTCCCCCATCGGTGTGTTCTGGCTTCTCTGAGACCCCATCAGCTCTCAGTTAGGATCAGTTCTGTGTTCAGGATTGTCTTTCATCTGTGGAAATGAGCCACTGTCTTAACTCCTCTATGAAATATGCTATTTGGTATTTCCTGGTGTGCACTAGCAAGAGTTAAGCATGGGCATGGAATGTGGGTGCTTGTCTCGTGCCTGAATTCTATGTATCACACCGTTTAAGTAAATGGCAGTTAAGATGAATGTAAAACACCACGTAAAATGAATGGGATGACCCCTTAATGTGCCCAAATTATCCTTAACACTGGGTAGCCTCAGCACAGTTCATCATGCTATATTATGAATGATATTGTCTACGCTTTCTTCCTTTAAGTGAAATCTCTTGTGAAATTGCAGCCTGGGGAGGGATTCCCCTTAACATTCAAAGGTGCAGCTTGAGGCCTTGATTCCCACCAGCTTCTTCTCTTTGAAAGGCACAACCAAATGCAATGAATCTTTTGAAACCTTTTCTCTGACTCTTTTTTAGCAAGCAAATGTAAAACTGCACTTCCTCTTCCCTCCCACCCCAGCAGCTTTAATAAAGAACTCACAGGTAAGAGTGAGGGATTTTATTGGAGCTGAGAGACAAGGTCAAGAATCTTGCAAGAAAAACAGATAATTATCAGTGACAAAAGATGTGACTGAGGAAAGCTGATGGGTGTTTCCTGTGAGGAAAAGGTGTCTGGGATAATTCAGGGTGATTTCTTCATGCAAGCTGGTGACTGAGAAGTGAATTCAAGTTTGAGGTTCCACTACTTTTGGTTTCCTTCAGAGGAAGGATGAAGTGATTTGGGGAGTCTATTTCTCATGCAATGCTGTTATTGACTTTTGTGCAGGAACTGTAGAAGAACCTACATCAAATCCTGGAGAAAATTGGGAAGATGCCATTGTTTTAGTGCCCCATAGGCATTCTCCTTAGAGATGAATTGTTCATGTCTTCGATGACAGAGCTGTTTTATGTGGCCAGTGGTTGAAGAACCTTGTCCTGCACCTCCCCAGAGCCTCCTTCACCTCCTTGTTTCTCAGGCTGTAGATGAATGGGTTGAGCATGGGGTTGACCACAGCATAGAAGATGGAGGCCACCTTATCCAGGCTCCTGTGACTAGATGGAGGTTGTAGGTACATGAAGAATACTGTCCCATATAACAAAGCAACAGCCATCAAATGGGAGGCACAGGTATTGAAGGCTCTGGCCCTACTCTGTGCTGAGCACATCCTCAGCACAGTGCGGATGATAGAGATGTAGGAGAGCGAAATGATCATGCTTGCACTCACCGCATTGATGGTGATGAAGGCAAAGACGATCAACTCGCTGCTGTGGGTGTCAGAGCACACGAGCTTTAGCACAGGGACTACGTCGCAGAAGAAGTGGTCAATGCTGTTGGGACCACAGAAGGAACCTCCAAACACGCACCACGTGCAGATGATGGCACTGAGGAAAGCGAATAGGTAGGATGATGCTACCAGCTGCCAGCAGACACGGCTGGAGATGATGGTCACATAAAGCAGGGGCTGGCAGATGGCAACGTGCCGGTCATAGGCCATCATGGCCAACAGGTGACAGTCAACAGTAGCAAAGAAAGCAAAGGTGAGGAACTGCATCATGCAGCCAGTGAAAGAAATGGTTTTGTCCTCTGCTAACAGGTCTGCCAGCATCCTGGGGGAGATGACTGTGGAATAGCAGATGTCAGTGAAGGCAAAATGGGTGAGAAAGAAGTACATGGGGGTGTGGAGGCTGGGAGCCACCCGAACCAAGATGATAATGCCAAAGTTCCCCACGAGAGTCACAATGTAAATCAATAGAAACAAGGCAAAAAGAGTGGTTTGCGCATATGGTCTGTCTGTAATTCCCAACAGGATGAATTTAATCTGGGTGAGATTTCCTCCCATGACCAGGTGTTACCTGCTGAGGCAAAAGCAAGAGAATATCACACTGATCAAAAACAGAGATTTGATTTTGGACCCTATCTAACTCTTATCAGTGACCGTTTCAGCTGTTACATTTTAAATATTCCAATATATTTTCTAACCAAAATTATATATGTATTTTATGTTTTTCAGATGAGGTATTCAGAAAAGCACCAGGATCCGATGTAAATTTGGAGCAAGAGAAAACCCCAGTCCCAGTGAAATCACAGTTTAGAGATGAATGACCTCTGGACATTTTCTGTTGGGTTTTGATTATCATTCAGTCACCAAACCCCATTTATCAAAATATTTGAGCTTATTCACAATAGATAACACTCACACTGGTAAATTAATGATTTATACCTTTCTGAGCTACAGCATGCTGAAGCATCCTAAACACATAGGCATTAGGTTGCTTGCTTTAAAAAGGAATTGATATTACAATGTTCTGATTCCAATGGTTGATTTCTTAGTGACTGTATTCTGCTGACAATCTGAAATGTTGCATTTCTTTATAACAGAATAATATTCATCCTCATTTAACTCTTAATTAAATCAATGCATCTTGCTTTAGCTGCCCATGTAAAAGAAACAGAACCTGCACCAGACATTGCTCCCTCTTCTCATGAAGAAAACTCACTTTGGTAAGACTGTTCTCTGACAAAAACAGGAAAAAGACGACCTGAGGACATGCAGAAGCAAGCCCACTGCCTCAGTGCAGGTGAGGCTCTGCTTTGTGTTGGTGTTACCTTCTGTGCCTTTCTTCTGCCACTGAGGGATGGGAGCCAAGGGTTTATCCCCAGTGCAGCAGAGAACATCCACGCACCAGCATCAGCTCTGTTAAGCACCTGATGTGAAGAGAGGGGAGATCCTGCCAGACTCCAAGAGCCCAGCTTGTGGTGCTGGGGCTGTAAATACAGTTGCATGTGCTCTCCTGGGAGGAAGCCTCCAGGGCTGCTCATGCTTACCCAGAGGAAAACAAAGAGAAGAAACAGCAAAGGGTGTGAAATCACCTCTGGAAGGCATTGTGGTGCTTGGGCATCTGAGAGACATGGTGTGATTGAGGCATCCCTGATCACAGATATACAGCAGCAGTGATGACCAGCTTACGTGATGCTTCTGACATACCTTTGGACAATTCAAATGTTTCACTTTGACATTGGCAACAGAATGAGAATGGGTTTAGAGACATTTCGGATCTTGCAGAGGGTCCTGAAATGAAAACTGATGCACAAATTACTCCATCTCTGCATTTGCTGCTGTCCCTTCGTGCACTCTTGGAGCCCAGTTTTCCATCCCCAGTGGGGTTATCCATATGTAGTGTCTGGATGTCCAGCATCTGAGCTGGTGACTCTGGGCTTCCACTGCATTCAAGGGTGAGAAAGGGGCATTTTGAGGCAGGGGTGAATTTTCCCAGAGTGGTCTAATAGGCCTTTGTCCCACTGACCAGCCCCAGCTGGGGGTCCATCCCCACCTGCTGCCTATTTGTTCCCTATCTCTATTTTAGCTCAGCCTAGGGAGCTTGTGTTTTATTAGAGCAGTTGTGTTTTCCAGTTTAGTAGGGGTTCTGCACATCTAAGGAATCCTTTGATGGTGACGTAGGCTTTATCGAGGATCTGTTTGGCAGTTTCTGGACTGGATGCTGGCCAGGGACTGACTTGACTTAGACTTGTATCTGCTTTATCATTGCCAACTTTCCTGATGCTCAGGAATCTTGGTTGAACTTGCCCCCTGTCTGTGTTCCTGCCCTACTTTTCTTGCTCAGGTACTGTGGGATGGTTTCTCCACACCGTGGTGTTCTTCTTTGTCTCTGTTTAAAGATATTAAGGAAGCAAAGCCCTGTGGCTGTCCCCAGGCTGCTGCAGAGTAGAACCCATCACCCTCTGCACTCAACAGCCCAGCCAGTGCTCACTGCCGTGGCAGTCCCTCTCCATCCAGACTGTGTCCCTTCATGGCTAAAAAAGGAGTTATTCTTCTCAGTAACAGAGTAGTAAGGTGAACTTTATTTCCCAGTATTTTTCTCTGGTCATTAGTTAATTCTGTTTTACCAAGTATGATATTAGACATCTATGGCAGGACCTCTTTTATCTACCTGATATAGGAATTTTGTGTCTACAGACAGGGGTTTCTGCATTTTGTAGATCCCTTCTCTGCAAAGATTGAAGCAGAATCATGCAATGATGCTTTTATCATAAAATGTATTTCCAGAACCCCAAGCCTGTTCCTTGTATTGCTGGAATTGACAATTGTTCCTCCCCTGTACGTTAGACTGAGGCTCCTCTTGGGAGTTCCCAGAGTTGGATCCACCACACACAAGACTATGGCAACCCAGCCCTCCCTTTGGCATGTAGCACCAAGTCTAGGTAAACCTTTATGTGTTTCAGTTGTCCCTGCTTTGTAATCTTTCTTAAACCAAAGCATAGATAAGAACACCAGTGTGGGGTAATTCATCAAGCAGTGATGAGCCTTACACGTGACACTTCTCATCTAAGCTCCCTTTCCCATTAAAGCTTGGACCAGGTGATCTCTTGAGGTGAAACTTGGGTTTTCTGTGGCTCTATGATTCTGTTTGTATATATTCGACATGTTTCAGCTACAATATGCAAGAAAATAGAATGAAGAATCATAGAATAGTTTGATTTAGAAAGGACCTGAACATCACCTAGTTCCAACACCCCTGCCATGGGCAGGGACACCTCACACTAAGCCATGTCAACCAAGGCTCTGTCCAACCTGGCCTTGAACACTGCCAGGGATGGAGCATTCACAACCTCCCTGGACAACCCATTCCAGTGCCTCACCCCCCTCACAGTGAAGATCTTCCTCCTTATATCCAATCTAAACTTCCCCTGTTTAAGTTTAACCTGTTACCCTTTTCCTATCCCTGCAGTCCCTAAGGAAGAAAACAAGGTGCATTGAAAGTTTCCAGGAAGCTCTCTGACATCAAAGTCTCTGTCCTGCCAAGCTCTTTAGCAAGGTATTACATCAATTCTGGCTCTCTCACTGATCGCCGATAGAAGCCACTTTTCCCCAGACCCAGGATAACGTCTCTTCTCTCGCTGCTGTTTTCCAGAGCACACAAAAGACACTGTTCACGACCCGAATACTTCCCAAATGTAAGTTAATTCTCCCTCACAACAGGTAAAGGAAAAATATTTCCCCACATGTCGTGGTTTAAGCCCAGGCCATAAATCAGAACCATGAACTCTACTCCCCCCCCACTTTCTTCCCTCTGCTCCCAGAGGAATGGGAAGGAGAATTGAAAGAAGGCAACTGCCATGGGTTGAGTTAAGAACAGGTTAGTAACTGAGGTATAACACAAATCACTGCTGCTACCACCAATAATAGTAATGATCAAGGACATAACAAAGGAAGAGAATACAACACCTCAGCACCAGCCGACCGATACCTCGCCCCACCCTGCAGTCCCAGCCATTCTGGGTAACTCCTAGTTAACCTCCTGGCCATGATGTGTTGCGGTATGGAATACCTCTTTAGCTAGTTTGGGTCAGGTGTCCTGTCTCTGCTTTCTCCTGGCTTCCCCTCCTCCCTGCAGAGCATGAGGCTCACAAAGTCCTTGGTCAGACCAAACATCTGAGCAGTAACTAAAACCATCGGTGTTATCAGCGCTGTTCCCAGGCCAAAAGTCAAAAAACACAGCACTGCACCAGCTACTAAAAAGGAGAAAAAATGATTGCTACTGCTGAACCCAGGACACCACACCAGTGTCTTTTTGCTTCTTTCTGACCCAGACAGCTCTCAGTTACCATTGATTCTGGGTTCAGGTTTCTCTTTAACCTATGGAAACTTGCCTCATGCTGTATTTATAAGTGCAACGCACCACTTGTTGTTTCCTGGTGTGCTTTAGTGTGAGCTGGGCATGGACATGGATGTGGGTGCTTATCTCCAGCTGGAATTCCATTTATCTCACCATTTAAGTAAAGGGAACTTAACCTGAGTGTAAAGCACCACTTAAAATGAATGGGAGGACTTCTTGATATGCCTAGCTTGTAATTAACACTGGGTAATCTCAGCACAGTTCATCAGTCTGTTTGATGAGTTGTATTTTTTACAGTTGCCTACTTGAAGTGAAATCTAGTCTGAATCTGAAGCCTGGGGAGGGGTTCCCCTTGCTATTCAGAAGTGCAGCTTGAGATCTTGATTCCCACCAGCTTCTTCTCTTTGAAAGGCACAAACAAATGCAATGAATCTTTTGAAACCTCTGACTCTTTTTCAGCAAGCAAATGTAAAACTACACTTCCTCTTCCCTCCCACCCCTGCAGCTTTAATAAAGAGCTCACAGGCAAGAGGAACCTTACTGGATCTGAGGGACAGGGTCAAGAATCTTGTAAGAAAAATCATATTTATGCATGACAAAAGTTGTAACTGAATGCAGCTGATTGGTGTTTCCTGTGAGGAAAAGAGGCTTGGATAACTGAGGGTAACTTCTTCCAACAGTCTGGTGACTGTGAACTGAACTGAAGTTTGAGGCTCAGTCTCCTCTTGTTTTCTTCCAAGAAGGGTGTGATTTTGGGGGTCGTTTTCTCATTGAATACTGTCATAGAGTGTTGTGCAGAAACTGTGGAAGAACTTCCATAAGGTCATGAGTATTAGTGGAAAATCCCAATATTTCAGTGCCCCGTAGGCTTTCACAATGGACATGAACTGCTCATATCCTGAATGACAGAACTCTTCTATGTCACCAGTGGTTGAAGACCCTCCTTGTGCACTTGTTCAGAGCCTCCTTCACCTCCTTGTTCCTCAGGCTGTAGATGAATGGGTTGAGCATGGGTGTGACTGTTGTGTAGAAGATGGAGGCCACCTTATCGAGGCTCCTGTGGCTAGATGGAGGTTGTAGGTACATGAAGAATGCTGTCCCAAAGAACAAGGCGACAGCCATCAAATGGGAGGTGCAGGTGTGGAAGGCTCTGGCCCTGCTCTGTGCTGAGCACATCCTCAGCACAGTGCGGATGATAGAGATG